ATTATTTAAGAAATTAAATTTTTATTAATTTCGGTATAATTTTAGTTGGTTCAATATTTAGTCGGAAAAATCCTCTATTTACTTTTATTTTGGTTCAGTCTGATGATTATAATATTCATGTATATACAATATATGACACAGATAGAAACGTTTCAAGGACATAGATCGAAACGTTCCAGTGACACGGATCGAAACGTTTCTTTTAAATTTTATATAGTTTTTATTTTAATGTTTTAATATAAATTTATAAAGTTATTAATATATATAAATTTAAATAATAATAATAATAATAGCTTAGTGAGACGTGGCAAACTGAAGGCAGATGTCAGTGCGTCACTGGCACAGTTCTGTATCTATCTACCATCATCGGTTTCCTGTAATTACCCATTTCGGGTTTCATAAGCTAAACTGTGGAGCCGAGCCGAAACGGGTGAGAGACAGGAAAGGAGCGAAAAAGAATGGGCAGGGTATTTGTGGTGGAGCTCGAGGGAAGGTCTTACAGATGCAAGTTCTGTAGAACTCACTTAGCTCTTCCTGATGATCTTGTCTCCCGGGTAATCTCTCTCTGAATCTTGATTTTCAGTTCCGATTGCTGAATTCCGTATGCGTGTCTTCTTTTTCATCAATTCCCGTGCTTGGTTTTTGTAGGTTAGTAGGTTCAGGAAGTATAGTAATCTGGGTCTGGGTTTATTTTTGTTGTTTTTGCAAATGATTATGATGAAGATGGTGATGAACTTGATTTGAATGAAAAAGACAGATATGGAGATTAATTTAAAGAAAGAGAAAGAGAAGAAAGGCTGAAATAAAAGCAACAGATGTTTAATTTTGTGCAAGAGTGAAGCTTTTATGTGAACAATTAAGAGGGTAGGTAGAACTAATTATCAAAAAGCCTAACTCTCTGAACTTCTCCTGGTTCAAACCCAAGTAAACTTCACATTTTTATGATCTTGAGCTTTTGAATAATGAGAGATCCTTCTCATCCTTGGAATTCTGACTATAACGTCGTCATGGTAGAGATTGAATTGATCAAATTTCTCTTTAACTTGCTATGATTGGGGAGTAGCTTTATATGTAAGTTGACTGTAGTGAGATTGGAGATTAAAGCTTTGGCCTTCATTTTTCATGGAATAGCGCCAGTGGTGGAGGCATGGGTCTAATGTTCTTTTCCTTTATTTTCTTTTGTTTTCAATTGTTCTTTTTTTTTTTGGAGAAAGGCTAGGGCTCTCCCTCTAAGGGGGTGGAGTGGATGTTTAGTGTTTGTTTTTGAAGGTGAATGTGGTGCTGAGATGAAGCTCTTGCATTGCAATAGATTCTCATTGTAATTTTTCGCTTTACCTATTAGAAAAGGTGGTTTTCACTCCATTGCGATTGCATCCCAATACCACAAAAATAAAATATAAACACATACTTTTTTTTTTCATCATATATGAAATTCTAGGGCTTGGGCGGGGGGGTGGGGGTTTGCATTGTTAAGGTGAAAAAGAAACTGATTTTAGAAAGTGATGACCAGGATACGTTCTTTCTGTCATTAATTTGGATAGTTTCCTCCATCCGTTCCCTCCTTTGTAACGCTTAGTTTGATATTCCACTATGTATGTTGTGAGAGCTAGGCTATGAGAATCAATTAAAGATTACTTTTGTAGTTATCAGGCTCAGGTGATAGAAGCACTTTACTTTTTATAACCTTTGATTGCTCAGCTTAATGGCCAAGGTAGAATGGCTCATTAATAAACATGCAGATCATAAGCTACTCTAAGGTCACAATTTTTGGATGATTGAAAGGGCGGAGAGTTCCATACTGGCCCCAAGGGATTATTTATGTGGTTTTTGAGTTATCTGAGTTTTTGCAATAGACATCATCCACTGAACCGTTCTTAAAAGAGCCCTAAATATGTGTCTTAGAGAAGGAAACAATTGTTTTTAAGTATATTCTTTAGACTATGATTGGATGAATTCAACATCTCGATCTAATTCATTTAAAAAAAACGTCTCGATCTAATTCATGTCTGTTAAAAGCTATTTGGAAATTTTTAAATGATTAAGTTCCTGTTTGCATCCAACTAGTGTTGAATTGATTGATAAGTTTTCTCCGGACAAGCTCTGTCACTTCTTTGAGAGGTAAATGAAATCCACCATTGTAAGTAATGTGGTTTAATAGTGGCAGCACACATCATATCACAGACGAAGTTTGCGTTTCATGAATAGCAAGATCAATATCGTCCGGTATCCTCCTGTCTTATTGAAGATGCTTCCAACCATGTCCCTCTCAACTTTGAGTGCTTCAAATGGTACAGTGTTCAAATTCGGTTATTCAAATTGTAACAGTAGCTGATTGAGGTTCACAATCCGATATCTTCTATTCTTTAGTTCTTATGAATTTTTGGAGTTATTACTTTTTTGCTTGCTTGTATGTTGTTGTTTAAGCCATGTGCATTACTTGCTTCTTTGGTTCACAATCTTTTATACCACCTATGCTATTGTTTGCAGCTTTGCCCACCAGATTGTTTTACTTTGTTGGGTTGATTTTGTCAGGCTTTCCATTGTCGCAGAGGAAAAGCATATCTCTTCAATAATGCGTAAGCACTTCAAGTTCTTGTGTATCAACAAACTC